CTGGTTGTTCGGTAGAAATGAAGGCCGTGTCGAGAAAGAAACATCCACTTCTACTAAGCCATACTCTGTCATCGAATGTTCTTTAAGGCACAACCCAGGCAGAGGTCGTGTGAACGCTTCCTTCGGTCTGTAGTATAGACCCCTAGAGGACAATCACAAATGTGGCGTCGTGCACGGAAACCAACCGACAAGAGCGCTTGGGCCTTGCAAAGTAAGCTGCTGAAGCTGCAGATTTTTTCTCTTATCAGGCTGTTGTCTGGCGCTCTCTCATCTGTAGCGCTCTCTCGCCTCATACTCTCCTCTCCGCGCTTAGTCTCTCATTCCCTTAGCACAGCCGATTAGGAAGGTGAGTATGCCCTCAACCTAGCGTTACCGCACACCAGTGTGATCCTGGGCCATGTCAAAAGTTGTCTTAAAGAACTTATATTTCAAGTGTGTGAAGGAATCCCATGTTCATTCTTATGTGGAAAATGTGGAAGGCATCAGTAGGTATCTAACCTTGCAATGGACCATGTTACAGTTACATATCAGACCCTTATTATTTTGTCCAAAATACCAAAATTTCCAGAAAATTTACAATCTGAACGACTGTCCAACGACTATTAGCTAAAAGCCCACATAGGCTGCCATTGTCTCACGAATAAGCGTCCCAAACAGCACATATGGGCTGCAGTCGGTGTGGATGTGTTGAGGACTTCCAGAGTTCGACTTGGCTGATTTCCAAGTTAGGGTATGGTCCTACTATACAAAACTCTCATCCCCTCAGAAAATCGAAGTGAACATCTTTTCATTGGGGAGGGGGTGGGGAGGGTGGGACGAGGCGAGGAGAAGGGAGTTTATCCCGCATGTCGCGCGTAGGAGCCAGCGACTCTATCTCTTAGCTAATAGGTATCAGGCATGAGCGGGTTTAATAAGGGTTGCTAATCTAACCCAAAGTTTCACTTAACAAGCCACTAGTGCAAGAAAGCATTTTGAAATGTCTACACAATTTTGAAAAAAAGACGTGTTCATGGCGCACACCCCATTCCTGCAAGCGTCAGTTTTTTCTCCAAGATGGGACGTGAAAAAAAAGAGATGTGTGCAGGCGTTCCGCTAACGAATCGAGAACAAATTCAAAATTCCCTGAATTTCTCAAAAGTTTGAGGAACGCATTAGGAAATTTTGCTGCGAAAATTATTTATCCATAGATAAACTATTTGAGCAAATTTCGCGAAACTAAGCAGTTTTTCAGCCGATCATGGATAGCCTCCCCATAATAATTCATCGCTTCAAGTTACCGTGACCAATGGTAATAATTTAATTGGAATGGCATTTTAAACTGCTAAAAACAGTCTAAGCACCTAAGTACGGTACTGTAACAAGTTACGTAATTTGGCGTAAATTTTTGAATTTGTTCTCAGTTACGAAGAACAAACTACGTAATTTTGTGAGGTAATTTCCACTCCATGCAACATACTACGAAGTCTGGAAAACTTCTGGGAAACAGCTTCTGCTACGATTTCGCACACTGGCAACGGTATGACGCGCATGCGCGTCATTTTCACATGAAAAGCCTCGTTTTGCTCGATTTATTTGGTATATCGAACGGTTCGTCTACATTGTCGGCTCCAAGAATTAGTGTAGCTATTACCAGTAAGGGAATTATTGAAGACGTGATTATGGCTTCGAAAAAAAAAATGGAAAAAAACAATGGAATCTTTGAAACGAGCAGTTCGACACTGGCAGATCAACAGAGGATGGGCTACGTATTCAACATTGCTCAAAATCACAGAAAGTTCGTTCCGTATTGAGGCAAGAACAGATTTCCTAGACCTGCTTATGCAAAATTGTTTAAAAAATCCATGAGCCGGGGGTTTGACTGGCAGTTGACGTTAATAACGTTAAGATCCAAAAAATTACGTCACAGCGCTTCTAACCGTCCTTTGAAATGTTCTATGACTATACAGGTATCCTTGTAGGCTACTTGCTGTTGTAGTGTGCCACGCACTCGACATCCTCCCGCAAGCGCAGAGGCATTTTAATGTGTGTTCGAATCTGAACAGCGGTTTACTAGGACAGCCTTTGCTAATTCGATGCTCCTTTTTTCAAAGACAATTTCGAAATCGATCAATCGAGACCTTTTTCCAATCAGTCCATACTTGATAGGGGAAAGCCACGATTAGCCTGACAATATGCTCTTTCTGATCGGTAAAAGTGACATCTATCCGCCACAAGTTAATTTTTACCTTTTCTTGCGAGTATGATGGCACAAAAAAATACCAGGTACTACCAGTGAAATGAAGGAAAGAAGCTACAAAAAAAATTAGAAATTGAAGCCACTTCTTACAGTTGGAGCGAATATCAAGGGATATGTAGGAGACACCCAAGTGAAAGAGCATAGGGACGAGCGAGACGCAAACAACGACGCGTTAGCTACGGTTAGTGACAGGAGCCCTGCGAGGTGGCTGTGAGTTCAAAGCACCTTGTGCCTTTGCTAAACACTTTCAATTTGTCAAAAACTGTGTGCATCTGTGGCAGTAGACCAGTTAGATATGTAGAAATTAGGAGCAGTAGAGAGCTCCAAGTCGATAATCCTTATTGTGATTGCACCACATGGAATTCGATTTCCATTCGAAATCGTGTTAGAGTTCTCTTTCGGGCATGGCTTGACATGCTTTTGGGACCAACGATGTACAATATGATTTTTGTCCTTCCCGCGACAAGGCTGCAACCAAACTCGCAATTTCAGCGCGGGATGGAAGGCTTGTTGGCGGGGTAAAATCCATCCGAAGATTCGACGCCGTGGACCAGCACGAGTGAAGCGCCACCACTTGGCATTACACCACCTCCGCATGTAGAGCAATTCCTTACATATAGAAGGGAAGAATTCAATGAACCAATTGTGGCAACATGTGTTTTTTTAAACCCATTCGCGACCGCGCGGAATTGCGCAATAGCAGGACAGTCAGAAGATTTTTGTTCAGTAAAATTTGAGTGGACGGAGATTTCCTCTGCCCAGGGCTGGCGTAGATGAGCGAGGGTATGAAGATTCTTTTCATGGAGAAAATGTTCCAAATTCTATTTGAAAACCGGCAGCCAATGGCCATTGCCCAAGTGAGATCTTTGGCAGCCACAGCGTGGCTGCCATTGTCCGTATGGGTTGAATGTGTATTTCAGGTATTTGAGTTGAAGAACCAAACTCATCTAAAAATAGATCAAGGATTTGTTCCAGGAAAGGATCTGTTTCTTCGTAGAAGCACGTCATCGTCGCTGCTGATATTACTGCTTACGATCAGTCACGTGTGGATAATAATATACCCCATTATAACCAATTCCGAGCATCTATATCTCTGTTTAGACGTAAATGCGAGACTCATCAAGAAGAAGCTATGGCTTCATTAGTTCATCGCAAAGACGGCATAATGGAAAGGAAACCGATAAAATCCCCTGGAGGAAGCCACAAACAGCCGTGACATCCCACGACCACTTGCTATAGCTTGCTAGTGAATGTCCCCGCCTTTTTTTTATACATAAATTATCAACTGTGGAAGCATTGATGCTTTCAAGAGAAAGCTGAAGAAGGGCCATATAGGGCGTTCAAAATCGTAGTGAACCTGAAGAGTGTCCGAAAAACATAAGTGCAGGTTCGAGCGCCATCCAAGGTCGAACGGTTTTAATGTCTTCTGTCTTCCAACATATGGGTAACTTATGGTTAGCAACTTTGCGATTTAATTGAAACGATGTTCAAAAGCCTAGGACTCAAAGGCAGCGACCACGATAAAGCGGGAGCGCATTGGGGAACGGGGAAGAATATGCACCACATGAATAAGTTACTTGGCTGCCAGGGAAACGCTTTCAGGACGGAAAGATCGCTGGTTGCTGAGCAGGACTTCGGAAGCACTCCGCCCCAAATGGGATTTCACTCATAGTCTACTTGGTGATTTGGACGAGCTGCGTTGCCAGCAGCGTCACAACTGGAACAACCCGCCGTGAGCGTGGTTTGGCGTGGTGCCATCAAACGCGCTACGGTGAAGCGTTCATACGCCCGCTTTCTGAGCTGTCACCTATTTACTAGTGAAAACTAAAGGCCAAAAAATGGATTCCATTTTGCATTTTTTGACAGATTTCTTTCCTTTTGACCACAAACTACCACTGACATCACCCGCGTCTTCCTCTGAACACTTTCTTGAACCTATTCGTAATCGCCTGCCGTCAAAGCATGTCCAATCATTGGTGTGGTTCTGCACAAAAAAACGAACGTATGGGTGCGAAATGATGCCTGCGTAAAGAAAAAAGAAAAGAAACGCAAAACCGCTCAGGCTCATGAGAGGCTTAAGCGCGAAAGAAGGGCAAGACGCGCAAAAAGTGAGAGTGAGACGAATTCCGGCGATTCGCCCTACGCTTCATCTCTCCGGCGCCGTTGAACTGACGCCGATTCTTCTCATAGGATAAAATACTGACGTGCACATCGGCTGACCCAGGCACGATATTGAATAGTTTCGGGCGTTCATGTCCTTGGGGGGGGGCGGTTCGAGGTGCGGAAACATTTAAAACAGCGCCTTTGGAAACCTCGATGAGGTGACACTAGGACCAAACTTAGGACCAAACTCAGGAGAGGGGAAAAACGCAAGGGAGAATACATTCTGCTCACATCCTCCTTGTGTCCCTTCTCCCTGAAGGATTAGTCCTAAGTGCTGTAAATGGCTCGCTCACTGAATGTCCCCCATAACGACATGGGCGCCTTGGTTCGCAATCAAATGTCAACACATCCGATTCCGAACGGGAGTAAATGTATGGCACATATCACTTAGTGATATTTAGCGTCGGAAGCTCATATAACTTATCATTTTCTGGTTCACAACTCTATAAAGCACTGCATATCTGACAAGTACCTCCTTTTGACCACATGAAGCGGAATTAGCGCGGCGATTCAAGGGGCACACAACACCGGCGCTATGTATGAAGTCAAATGTCATGCATTCGAAGAAAACCTCACAGGAAAGTCCTTCAGTCCTCAAATAGCGAAGAAATGGAACAAAATTGCACCTATATGTAAAAACCTCAGCTTACACAACAACTAACAAAAGCCATTAAATAGGCCTAACATTTCCGAAAGCCTCAACGATTATGAATAAACCTGAATGCATGAATAAATCAAAAAAGTCGTGGAATGTTGAGCGTTCTTTTCTCAGGGCACTATAAAAACGGAAGGAGTGGACAGTGTTATTGAAGCTGGGATGCGCCACGCATTTTAGCTTTACTTAAAATCTGCAGGCAATTGAATGCTTACCACGGCTACAGAATGACTTTTAGGGATCAGCCATGATGTCCCTTAAGCACAGTCTGGCACATTAAACAAGGTTTCAGTGGGAGGCATGGTTGGATAGGATTCGATCTGTCGAGAGTGTGGGTATTTTAGGGGCGCCTCTAACCTCAACGTCATCTTTATTCTCAAACAGGAAGAAGCCATAAAAGCCACGATATCACGGAATAGCCATGCATACTCTCCAGAAAGCGTTGATAAAGGCGCCACTACCATAAGTAACCCGGGTTAACGAGGTTCTTCCCTTGGGAACACTCGTTTAACCCTTTGACACTCGGTGGTACACACGTGTGCCACATGGTTACATAGGTATTACTGCTATGTACCTCACATGTACCACAGGGAGTAAAGGGTCCGAATATTTACAGAAATTGATCTTCGGTACAGGAGCATCTAAGCAAACCATTATAAGAATATGTGATTATAAATAAGTCTTAGGGTTGGCACTTGAGAAAGCGGGGTTTAACTTCGGCAAAGGCAGGAAATTAGGCAGTACTTGTAAAGAGTCCGCCAAGATATGTAAGGACATTTCGACCACCAGAACCACACTTCTTCTCACCCATCACATTCGCACATTTCAAAAAACCAAACGAAACGAGACAGAACACCCACATAGTAGAGTCGGCGTTGTGCAGCCACGGGCGTACAGTGGGAGAGCAGGACGATGACAAAGAGTAGTGGGAGAGTCGACATCAGCAGTCTGATTGTCCCAGATCCGCTCATAGAAAATGAAAGCCACTCGTCGACTCCGCCTTTTGCAGCCGTCCGACGGCAGCGGTGAACTTTTCGTCATGTGGGCGGAGTCGGTACAGTAGCTATCCCAACTAGGTAGCTGGTGGATATTATACACACTCTCGTACGCACATAAACACACCTTCGACGCACGAAATCACCTCATTAACGTGAATCGCTTCGATGCGTACCCATAGTGAACTAATCACACGTAACAAAATGCTATTCAATGCTATGATTGACTGAGGAAGGAGCTCATGAACACATCAGATGAAGAAATGGTGAGGAATCCTTCAGCAGAATGTTACCTGCTCTAGCTGTTTGATACTCGATAAAAGCCTCAACCAAAGGAAAGAGCAATCTTCGTGGTCCTCTGAATCTTACCATTAAAAAGCCTGCGCCGGATCCATATGGAACTTCAGGAAACTCTGGAACTTTTAGAAAAGTAGAAAATAGCAGCGGA